AGAGGCAGTGCACCCGGCAAAGGCCCTGCCGGCAGCGCACAGATTCCGAGAGTCGTTTTCGTCGCTCTGTCTCTCTCGCACTCGTCGGGCGTCCCGTATAGGTGCGAGAGAGACGGAGCGACGAAAACGCCTCTCGGAATCATTGTGCAGCACAAGGCCCCGCACAAGGCCCCGCACAAGGCCCGGGGCACGCCGGTACCCTTGTCGGCTCAGCTCCTTGTGCCCAAGGTATTTGGGTCAAGTTGGCTGGCCGGCCCCGGCTGGCCGCCTGGCGCCACGGCTTGGCTTGGCCACGGCTTGGCTTGGCCACGGCTTGGCTTGGCCACGGCTTCTCAAGCTCTTAGGCAGGCTCATGGTATGTTGACGACAGGGCAGCTGGCACCTAGGCCATACAGCTTGGCACACGGGCAGCTTCATACAGGCCAGACTGCGGAGCGAGCTTAACTTAGAAGATTTAGCATTTCGGCTCAGCTACTTTGTTGCCAAAAAGGTAAATTTGGTTTTTTGAAGCTTGGCTATCTTGGCCAGGCTGTCTTGTGGCCGTTGAGGCCAGGCTTGGCTTGGACAAGGCTGTCTAGGGTTCTGGCGGCCGTGGCTGCTGTGGGCAGCGGCAGCAGGGCCAGCCTGGCCGTGGCCTGGACGCTTGGCCACCACGGGACCGAGCGTCCGAAGCAGGCCGAGACTGCGGAGGCGCACGCTTAAAACCTTACGAAGTATTTTCAGCATATATCGTACAAACTAACTTTGTTACACGAAGAAATAGTTCGTAAATTATGAAGTATTTTCTTTGTAAGCTTATGTATGCTCAAAATACTTTGTTGCCAGATGCTTTTCTTTGTAAGGCCTAAAATAGTTTGTAAGGTTTTCTCAGTGCTTGGCTCAGCTGGTAAAACAGAGGCGTGGTCGTAGGGGTAAGTTGGGGCAAGAAAGGTGCAGGGGAGGAAAAGTACGTCCTAAAGTCGAAAAGTGGCGAAGAGCGGTCCAGCCGAGTGGGAAATGGCGAAGCGTGGCAAAGGTGCATCGGTGCATCTCGAAGTGCAGAGAGTCGGGACGGCGAGGCACTGCACCGCGAGGCACCGCACTGCAAGGCACTGCAGTGTCGCCAGTCACGCGCTTCCGCTTGGTTCCGCTTCCGGAGGCCAGTCACTCTGTCTCTCTCACACCGCCGTGCCGCCAGGCCGAGCCGGACGGGGCAGGGCACACCCAGGCACACCACTGTGGCAAACCACTCACACGATGACGCGCGCGGGGGCAGCATTCTTGATTGAACTCGGCAGACCGATTCCGAGAGTCGCTCTTTCGTCGCTCCGTCTCTCTCGCAATCGTGGGGCGTCCCGTAGAGGAGCGAGAGAGACGGAGCGACGACTCTCGGAGTGAGTCTGCGGCGTGGGCGTGCCGCGCAGTGCGTGCGCGTTTTGGTGAAAGTGTTCCGACGCAGGAAGCACCGCGCGCGGCCGCGGCCCACACAACATCCGTCGCCGCCTCTGCGGCCCCAGCCTGCCCGAGCCTCCGAGGAAGGCCTAGCCGAGGCGCAGCCAAGGCCCAGCCGCGCCCGCCCAGCTTCCGAACACACTGTGAAACCGAGCACGCCACACCCGAAATGCGGAGGTGTGGCATTTGCAGTGTCTGCACCAGGCGCGGTTTAAGGGGAGGGGCGAAGGGGGGGATCGCCCCCACCCCCCTGTAGGCAACCAGCATCACATGTCCCTGTCCCTGTCCCTGTAGTAATGCTCTGAAGAACATCTGTTGAAGCCCTGAGAAAATCTCTTCGAAAAAAGATGGAAAATGAATGGAGTCTCTATGAACGTGATTATAGGGTTTTTCTCCACAAAATTTCGGAGCTAATTTCTAACAGTGCGTGCACCCCATTAGCATGCCGTACCTCGCAAAGCCGTGCCTTGCAGTGCCGTGCCTTGCAGTGCCGTGCCGAGCCGCTTGGAGCGCGCAGCGACATTCCTACGAATACCGGAATCATGTCAAGAGGGGCTGTGCCGCATCGAGTGGCTTCGCAGTGCTTCGCAGTTCGAGTTGGAGCAAAGCCCCAATCAGACGTCGTCCGCTGGCGTCCGCTGGTCTGCAGTCCGATTCCAAACAAAATCCTCCCCACTCCAAGGCCATTTCCCCCTCCCCGCGCCCCTGCTGGGACTTCCCTCGAGTGCGGGAGGGACACAGCGACGGAAACGACTCTCGGAATCAGTCTGCTGGAGGCGCGGAAAATCAAAATGCTGTCCCTCGGGAACCAAGGGAACTCGCAGTCACGGCGGTATGAAAATGGCGGTGGCGCCGCTCGAGCCGGCAGGTGCGGGTCCAGGACTCTTCCAAGGGCGGGGCAATGTAGTGCTTTTTGCTTACTTAAGGGGGCAAAGAAGTGCTCTCTCAGCACGTTTCTTTCTTTTTAGCAGGTGATACCTTTACATTTGAAAAATGCCATACCTAAAACTAGACACATGAAGGTGTCAGCGTTCTTTTATTTCTCAATTCAGCTAAGGATAATATTTTGTGTTTTCTAAGTAAGAATGACTTGTTTCCTTTGTAAAATTATTGACGAAAATAAATTGTCATTACACTATTTAACAAATTCCCGAGCAGTTTTGTAAAGAAACGTGAAGTACGTACGATGTTTGCCCAAATTACTTGCACACACGTACTGACAAATCGAGTCTAAAGTCAGTACTGCACGGTAAAAACGGAACCTGGTTTTCCCAGGAAGCCTATGGTAGAGACATAGGCGATTTCCAGGGGGCTCCTGGGAAAACCAGGAACCGTTTTTACCGTGTGACGTGCTGAGAGTGTGACTTTTGCCTACCCTTGAGGAGGCAGACTCCCAACTTGCATGAGGCGCGCCGTGCCCATGGCCGTGCCACTCCGCGGGGGGATTTTGCGCGACTGTCTACCTTTGCCTCCGCCGCACGGTTCGCGGAGCGAGGGTCGCGATCGGCTTATATGCCTGGAATAAAGCCGTCTGTGCTCCGAGACGCAGGCAAAGGCATGGCGAAGGCCAGGGACCGCCAGGGACGCAGGCTCAGACAGTCCGATCCGCCACTGTACGTACCCCTGTCCTGGCGCTCCCGACGGCAGCACCCTGCAGGCTGCAGAGCCATACTTCGAATAGAATAACAGGGCAGCTCATGCACTGAAAAGTCAAAGGACGGAATTCATTCCATCCTAGGGGAAAGAAACAAAGTCTCGCCATTCTGTGGCCAGAAACAAAAGTCTCACAATTTTATTTTTTTGGCGAGAAACAAAAGTCTCACCATTTTTTGGCGAAAAACAAATGTCTCGCCAAAATATGGCAATAATTGCAACCCCACTCTATTGGTTACCCAGTCAATTAATGCCATATTTTGGCGAGACATTTGTTTCTCGCCAAAAAGTGGTGAGACTTTTGATCAAACAAAAAAATGGTGAGACTATTGTTTCTCGCCACAGAAAGGCGAGACTTTTTTGTCTCGCCAAATTTTGCCCATCAGTCTCGCCATTCAATTTTCAGTGGGAATCGGAGAGAATTACCTTGGAAAAAAGAGACAGACCGCCAACGGCGGTACCCCCAACAGGTGTATCGTACTCTGAGTATGCTCCCTCATTCCAGGAACGTGACATCACGTTAAAACGAATGTGACAAAATGTCACGTTCCTTTTAGTATCGTGTCACATCCATGAGAACGCGAACAAGCCAGTTTATGGCTGATGCACATCCAAATGAATGTGACACAATGCCCAAACGAGCGTGACCTTTTGTCACATTCGTTTTAACGAGTCACGTTTTTGGAATGAGAGAGTGGTACTCAGATTTCCATGCAGGTGATAGAGAGGCCTGTCCAAAACTACCCCTGTTGCCAAGCCAAAGTACACTTCATCTGGTTCCAGGTCAAGCCCTGAGGGCGAGGGTGCGCCAACGTGAGCAGCCGCCCTTCAGCGTTCGACCAATCAGAGACCGCCATCCCGCTGCCTCTCGCAGCACCCACCCCGCCACGCCACTAACATCGCTACGACTGGGGCTGTGGACGGCTGTGGATGTACTCTTGAATGGGGCTTCTGAGTCCACTCGGCTCGCCCTACAGCTGCCCCCTCCCCCTCTTGCTGGTTCCGCCCCGCTGCAGCCCGGGGCGCATCCCGCTCTGCACATTTGATTGCGAGAGTCTCTGATCGTCGCTCTGTCTCTCTCGCACTCACAGGGCGTCCCCTAAAGGTGCGAGAGAGACAGAGAGACGACTCTCAGAGCGCCGATAGTGGTTTGGAGCGAAGGGCCCTCTGTTTGCTGTCGGGCGGGGCAGGGCAGGGCGAGCAGGGCCCTCCGAGGGCCTCGAACCGCAATTAGACTCGATTGGTCGGCCAGCCAATCAAAGCGACCGTGTGGACACGCGTGTGTGTGGACCAGTGTGGACACAGGGCGAAGCACACAGCGCTGACGCTTTGAAATGCGACGCAATAACTGTGCGACATGTCCCGGTCCGGAGGCGGGGATGATTCGAGTGAAAATCGAGGCGAAACGAGAGCTTTTCAAAGCTCGTGGATGATCGCAGTCGAACGGCGCCACAATTAGAAACATCCGCGGCGGGTCCAGTGGAAGAGAGAGAGAGAGAGAGAGAGAGAGAGAGAGAGAGAGAGAGAAAGAGAGAGAGAGAGAGAGTCTAATTTATAAAAGTTTTATAGGGGGTTTTGAAATGTACAATGCGGGCCGAATGAGGAGGGTGTAAAAAATGTTAGAGAGAGAGAGAGAGAGAGAGAGAGAGTATAGTTTTATAAAATGTTTTGTTCAGAGAGAGGGGGCGGGGTTTGAGTTCCTCCCTCGCGGCCCAGCCCTTTGCAAAAACCACACTTTGTAAGAAGGCAAAAAGTGCTACTCCCCCCCAGGCCGCTCTGGACCCGCCACTGGTTAGAAAGGCCTCGCTCACCTTGTTAACGCCGCCCGGCTATCAGCACTGCCGAGTCATGGCGGCCCGCATGGCGGCCGGTGCGGCGGGTGCGGCCAGGGACGGGTTGCACTAAGCGGAGGCCAGTGTGGTGCCATCATCACTTTATTTCAAAACGAGATATAAAATTTTGAGACAGCATAGTACAGGGTTTACATCGAAGTCGACAGTTTGCCGAACGACAAGGTCACATCCCCGATATGACTGTTTTTCCCACCCCTCTTCTCTGGAAGTACATATTTAGTCAACTAAAAGCCAAGTACACAAATGACGTAGTCGCAGCAGTATAAAAACATGAAAACGAATACATTTCCAAAACGCACCATACGTAATGCAAGATACATATCCACGTCAGGAAGACAGTTAAAAATAATTAAAAAATCACAGTGAGAGTAAGAACAATACTTTTTTAAAAACCCGAAAGCCCCCGTTTGAGCAAGCGCCACAAAACGCAACACGTCAGTTTTCCGGTTGGAAGGCTGAAGACGGTTGCGCGTATCGCAGCACTTACTGACCATGAGATCACGCAGTGCATTCGTATGCATACAAATGCCTGCCTTGAAATAACTACGTACATCACAGCAAGATGAACATCAACACCATTAAAGCAGACTTTCCCGTTTCCCCGCCCCCTTTCCGTTCACCTTCACTTCGTCGACCACCTCACTGTCATTCCACGAATGTGACGTCATATCAGTTAAAATGCGAATTTTTTTAAAAACGTTCGTTTGCATACGGTGCCACACTCGTTTGAATGTTGGTTGATTCAACGTTGCGACACCCTTGTTCGACTGCCGTTGTCACGTTCCATCGAACGTGACATCGTGTTAAAACGAACGTGACAAAATTCACTTTTCGAACGAAAATGACGTCACGTTTGCCGAATGACAGTGTGCTCTTTGCCGGTCGCACGACGAATCATTTTCTTTGGTCCTGCAGTCAACACTAATAAAATTAAAAGGTAATGAGCGCAACCCGATTGGCTGCGAATTAATTTAAAGGCGTCTGCCTGGCCGGTTCGCCCCTTCAGCCCAGCGCCGTGTCGAGGACCATCATGACGACGAAGCCCGCGATGGCTCCGCACGACGCCAGCCTGCCGTTGCCGCTGCAAGCAAGTCCAAATATTATTCTTCTGTCTCTCTCGCACTTATTGGCAAGGAGCGACAAGGACAGAGCTGTGAAAAAATGTAAACGAATTAAGTGAATGATATGATCATTAGGCTAATTGGTACAGGCGTCGAAAACAGGACGGTTTAAAAAGAAGAGCCTAATCACTGCAGCGCGCGCTGCGGATCCACTGGTAACACGCTCCCGTGACGGCGCTCCGATTTTGAATGGCAAAATTTGGCGTTCCAGGCCGCCAGAGAGTCCGGAGTGCCAAATTTTGGCGTTCTCAGAGGGCGATCCAGGGCCAGAGGGCCACATTTTGGCGCTCCGAACGGAACGCCACCGCACTGTCAGTCAGGCCAGTGGAGAACTCCACACTTCCTGGTGCGGAGTAATACTCCACGTTTGGAAGTGTGGAGTTTGCAGTCTCTATGCTTCAAGTGTCGCGTAACTCACGGAGTCCATCTCTTGACATGGTGCAAACGTGGAGAACTCCACACTCGAAGAGTGACACTGCAAACTCTGCACTTCCAAGTGCGCGGAGACAGAAAATCTCACACCACTGCATTTCCAGAGTGCGGAGTTCTCCTCCGCATTTGGTTTCACAGTGTGGGTAGGGGGACTCACCTGGTGTTGGCCTCGGGGATGAGGTCGTCCACCACGACGAAGATCATGGCGCCGGCGGCGAAGGCCAGGGCGTAGGGCAGCATGGGCTCGGCCAGCGACACGAAGGCGGCGCCCAGGACGCCCGCCACGGGCTCCACCAGCCCGCTCAGCTGGCCGTACCTGCGAGACGACGGACAAGTTGGAGACAGGGGCGGATCCAGAGGGAGAGAGAGGCAGAGAGAGAGAGAGAGACAGAGAGAGAGAGCGGGGAGGGAGAGGGAGGGAGAGAGAGACAGAGAGAGGGACAGAGTGAGAGACAGAGAGAGGGACAGAGAGAGACAGACAGAGGGACAGAGAGAGAAACAGAGAGAGAGAAACAGAGAGAGAAACAGAGAGAGAAACAGAGAGAGAGAGAGAGAGAGACAGAGAGAGAGACAGAGAGAGAGACAGAGAGAGGGACAGAGAGAGAAACAGAGAGAGAAACAGAGAGAGAAACAGAGAGAGAGAAGAGAGAGAGAGAGAGAGAGAGAGAGAGAGAGAGAGGACAGAGAGAGACAGACAGAGGGACAGAGTGAGAGACAGAGAGAGACAGAGAGAGAGACAGAGAGAAACAGACAGAGAGAGACAAAGAGAGACGGAGCGAGAGTGTCAAGTACCTACTCCCCCCTCCTCTGTCGACCCCTATGCCACCTGAAAAGCGGGCAGAAAGCAACACTTTGCCCCCTTTCGTAGGCAAAAAACGCTCCCCCTCAAGCCGGCTCTGGATCCGCCACTGATTTGCGGGCTCAGCGAACACTGGTGAAACAAAGGCATTAAAATTATGCCCTGGCATAAATGGCATAAATCGTTTAATGCCTTTGGGAAGAGCATTAAAATTTTGCTTGAAATTCCTATACCATTTACGCCCTTCCCAAGGGCATAAAACGATTTATGCCCTAGGGAAGGGCGTAAAAGAGCATTTATGCCCTAAAGGGCGTAATTTTTATGCCTTTGTTTTACCAGTGAGCACACAAAGGACCTCACCCCACGTCTGCGGCTGCGCGGCCAGGTCCGGCCAGGCCCGGCCGGGTCGCATCGGCGGGCAGAGAGGTTGATTACGCTTGCCGGACGGCGGACGGCTGGGCAGCCAAAGCCACGCCGACGAGGACGGCGAGGAGGACCCGACGGGCCCTTCGCCCTTCGCCCCTCGACCGATTTTAATTAACAAACTTATCGATCTTCCAGCACCGTTCGCTCGAGTGTCAACTTTTTGGTTCGGCGAACCGACCCCCCAACCCCCGCATGGTGCGGCGACGAATAAAAGGAAACTCAGCGCGCGGGCCGGGCACGGAGGGAATGAGAGAGATAACTGCATATTTCAGTCCTGGTCGAGGGCAACGAAAAATAACAGGAAAAGTAGCGATATACATCGGCAACTTTGGCCCGTCCCGTACATTAAGACACGTACGAATTTCGCCTATATTTGACCCTGACGGGAATTAAACCTGAGTCTGGGGTTAAAATAAATGTCGTTTTCGTCATCAGCACCCTCAAAAACATCAGAAACAATGCAAAAAATCGAATAAAAAGAATGTTCAAAAAATACACCGCTGGGATTTGAACCCGGGTCCGAACTTCTCCGATTCGCTCGAAACTGGCACCATTGGTTTTTTCTTGTCGCCCCGATTCCAAAAATACCCCTACATGCCCTCCTAGCTGCATCCGTTGCCGAGATCCTCCTCGACCCCATGTAGACCATGATGCACCTGCAGCAGCGCCCCCGGGGCTCGGATCGGATTTGCTGCCACCGAGCGGTTCTTAGGGTCACCCAAGGAGGCTGCATACCAAATTTGGTCAAGATCGGACCACGGGAAGTCCTCGGACGGACGGACGCACAGCAGGGATCATACTACACTGAGAGAAGGGGTCGGTGCCTCACGATAAAACTGTGTTTTGTGGAACCCCCCAATGGCGACAGTTACACGAGTTCATTCCTTGCAACTGTTCAGCCGATGATCACAATAAGACTGCTAAATAGTGAGAGTGACTGAACCGCCAATAATAGTCAGCATGAAAGGACTCGATTAAACTGGCTTTAGTCATAGGCTTGATCGATGGTCAGTAGTCGCGACTAAAGCGTTTAGGTGTGGCACCGAAACACTGGCGATGCGACACTCAACACGGAAGTCGCGTTGCCATCGCCCAGCGCTCCGCCATATTCTCAATAGTGCGGTAGCTCAGTGGTCTCCGTGCCTGGAGGCTGGATAGGAAGCCGGGTTCGGGGGTTCAACTCCCCGTAGCGCAACCAGTTTCTCCTGGCATAGTATATTTGTATACTATTGTGCTGTCAGGAGATGGACTGTGGGACACTTGGGACCCCAGGAAAGGGAGCGAGCTATCATTTTCTCGGTGCGTCCGCACACATTCGTCAGTCCAAGAGGCCCATCAATGCCGGCCTCTCTCAGTCAGCCAGGTGGCCGAGTTGGTAGAGCGACGGACTCGTAACACGTAGGTCCGTGGTTCGAGCACTCGTTTTGGAGTCGTTTTTTCATCGGTTTACGTTTATGTGTCAGGACTAAACAGTCAATCGTCAGATCTTATCGCATTCAGTCACTGTAACAAGATTAGATTCAGTGGCAGTGGCTAAAATAGACAGACGACATGTTGGAAAAAGAGTACATCTCACAATTAAAGTAGTGCGACTAAACGATTTAAATGTGGCCATCGAACGTTTAATTGAACCCCCAGCGACCAAACAGATTGGTTGTCACAGCTGTAAGTTTAGGTGCGGCCCCAAAACATTTCCCTCAGTGTATATGCCCGTCCCTCCGTCATTTTTTTACAAAAAATAAACGGGACGGGCCAAAAAGGAAAATCTACGCGGGCCTGGCACTGGCATGAAGAGGAAAAGAGATAACTGCATTTTTCAATCCTGGCCGAGGGAAACGAATAAAAAGGATACTCCTTCGCGCGGGCCGGATATAGAGTGGGAGAGAGAAAACTGCATTTTTCAGCCCTGCTCGAGGGCAACGCGGGAAAGAGGAAAACTCTACGCGGGCCTGACGCTGGCATGAAGAGGGAGAGAGGTAACTGTATTTTTCAACCCTGGCCGAGGGCAACGAATAGGAGGGCGGGCCGGCGGGCTGCCGCGGCCGGACGTGGAGTGGGAGAGAGACAACTGCAGTGGCCGAGGGCGAGGTCCTGGTCGACGTGGGGTGGGAGAGAGACAACTGCAGTGGCCGAGGGCGAGGTCCTGGTCGACGTGGGGTGGGAGAGAGACAACTGCAGTGGCCGAGGGCGAGGTCCTGGTCGACGTGGGGTGGGAGAGAGACAACTGCAGTGGCCGAGGGCGAGGTCCTGGTCGACGTGGGGTGGGAGAGAGACAACTGCAGTGGCCGAGGGCGAGGTCCTGGTCGACGTGGGGTGGGAGAGAGACAACTGCAGTGGCCGAGGGCGAGGTCCTGGTCGACGTGGGGTGGGAGAGAGACAACTGCAGTGGCCGAGGGCGAGGTCCTGGTCGACGTGGGGTGGGAGAGAGACAACTGCAGTGGCCGAGGGCGAGGTCCTGGTCGACGTGGAGTGGGAGAGAGACAACTGCAGTGGCCGAGGGCGAGGTCCTGGTCGACGTGGGGTGGAAGAGAGACAACTGCAGTGGCCGAGGGCGAGGTCCTGGTCGACGTGGGGTGGGAGAGAGACAACTGCAGTGGCCGAGGGCGAGGTCCTGGTCGACGTGGGGTGGGAGAGAGACAACTGCAGTGGCCGAGGGCGAGGTCCTGGTCGACGTGGGGTGGGAGAGAGACAACTGCAGTGGCCGAGGGCGAGGTCCTGGTCGACGTGGGGTGGGAGAGAGACAACTGCAGTGGCCGAGGGCGAGGTCCTGGTCGACGTGGGATGGGAGAGAGACAACTGCAGTGGCCGAGGGCGAGGTCCTGGTCGACGTGGAGTGGGAGAGAGACAACTGCAGTGGCCGAGGGCGAGGTCCTGGTCGACGTGGAGTTGGAGAGAGACAACTGCAGTGGCCGAGGGCGAGGTCCTGGTCGACGTGGGGTGGGAGAGAGACAACTGCAGTGGCCGAGGGCGAGGTCCTGGTCGACGTGGGGTGGGAGAGAGACAACTGCAGTGGCCGAGGGCGAGGTCCTGGTCGACGTGGGGTGGGAGAGAGACAACTGCAGTGGCCGAGGGCGAGGTCCTGGTCGACGTGGGGTGGGAGAGAGACAACTGCAGTGGCCGAGGGCGAGGTCCTGGTCGACGTGGAGTGGGAGAGAGACAACTGCAGTGGCCGAGGGCGAGGTCCCGGTCGACACTGGCGCCAAATTTCAATAGCCGCAAATGAATGGATCGTTAGGCCTGGGGGAAGGGGGGCAGACTCACCACAAGCTCCTGGACACGCTGAAGCCCGCGGCGTGCAGGGGCACGCTGACGGCCAGCCCCTCGGGGAAGTTCTGGATGCCGATGCCGATGGCCAGGTTCCTGCAACAGCGTGGGAGCGCGATGATGAGTTTTGGACGAACGAGGGGCGGGGGAGACAATCAACATTCAGTTCGTTTCGTGGCGCCGCCCGCTCGCAGCGCAGGACGGAACGCCACGTTTTATTTGCTTCCCAAAACAAAGTTTATTGGAAACTTTTTGGGTGCGAGAGAGACGGAGCGAGGACGCGATTCTGCCTGACGGGCTCGTGCATACTGTAAACAGTGGTCCGCGAATCGAGAGGAGCACACTGTGAAAACCAAGAGGGGACAACCCCACACTTGAAATGCGGAGGAGTGGCATTTGCAGTCCACGCACCTGGAGTGCAGAGGTTGCAGTCTAAGGGTGGAGTTCTCCACGTTTGCAGTTTGCAGCATACCAAGAGATTGCACTCTAAAAGTCTTGCGGTGAAGATTCTCCATATTATGGTGAAAATTCTCCATATCATAGTGGTGCAGCTGACTTCGTAAGTTACAGTTCAAAATTCGTTGTACCTCACAGATATTTTGTCAAATTTCATTTGTAATATGGAGAAAATCTCCACCATAATTGTTGCACGGAAAAAACTCCTTGGTCGTGGCGACCGAAAGTCGATCGCCACGACCATCTTCTTCGATAGCTGGTGGGACTACCGGATTTCTGATTGTGAGAACCACGTCGCCGAGCTGAGGCAAGCTGGCCATGAGAACGACTGTGTTGATTGTGACAACCAGGAATAGGGCATCCTAGAACCGTCCTCCATCAGTTGCAGGGATAGGTATGATTTTAGAACGCTTCGAGACGACCAGAAAGTTGGTCGAGAGGACCAACTCATTTGACACTTTCGCCGACGGATTTCGTTCTTGGGGAATTTTTACCCTCACGTAGGATTAGTTAGAACTTGAAGTTTTGTGGTCCTCATAGTCGTAGCGCTTCTTGCACCTTCAGAGGGATCATAGTTAAAAATGTAGGTGGCGATGAAGCCACAAAATCGCGCCACTCTTCCTAACTCAAAGGTTGCGTCCCTGCTTCTTGCCGAAGTGTGGAACGCGAGCCGCACGATTGGGGATCATGCCTGCACCTAACCTAATGGGCGAACGTAGACGCCAGCGAGAGGCAACATGAAAATGCGTTCTTCTCGACTGTAGTGTAATATTTTGTTCAGAACTTTTAGCTGACAGCTAGAGAAGATATTTACCTAGGCAACAGACAGCATTATTTGCGAAAATTATTTACTTGAGTAACATAAATCGGAAATACTAATAGGCGAACGGACACGCCGTCACCAAGCGGCAGGCCCGTGGAACCTCGACTCTCAGAACCGAACTTCCTTGAGCAGAGCGGTCGGTTGTGACGATCGGCTCGGGCCAACCAAGTGACTTGTAAGAGGATGGATACGCTCGAGGGGGTATGCGCTCTCCGAACCTGTGCACCGACTATTACGCTATTACGCTCTATTACGCCACAAATTAATCGGACTTTAGCTAAAAACGGCCTAAAACACACCAAAATTGATAAAATTTTGACAATTTCGGCTATTACGCGACTATTACGCGTATTATTACGCGTGCTATTACAGATAGAGTGAACCGACTATTACGCGAGTGCATACCCCCTCGGATACGCTAGTTGGTTGTCTGAATCAAGCCGTTCGATGCCCACAATCACTGTAACGACAACTGGGTATATCCGATCGTGACGACCAACGGTTTTTTTCCGTGTGGTGCAGCCTTCACTGCAAGACATTTAGAGTGTGGGGTTCTGCGAAGCTACTCCACGTTTGAAGTGTGCCGACTGCAAACTCCACGCGTCCAAGTGAGGAGCGTACTCCGCACCGGGAAGGGAAGGGCGGAGTTCTCCCACACTCGGTTTGGCAGCGTGCAGAAAGCAGGCGGATTAGTACGGAAGCAAAACAAAACACTGTTTACGGGCGACTGCCCCTTCGGCGCCCTTTGATGGCCCTGCCTCGGCTTTCGCGGGGTTTCGAACCCGCGATCAACGGGAAGCGCAGCGCTTGGGACTTTGCAGCCTTTAGCCGCATTCCAGTGGAGTGGGCACGGCAGCGCGGCACGGCGAGTAAAAAACGGCGCGGCCATTCAAGTCTGTGGCTACACTGCAGAGTCGTTTATTCGTCGCGCTGTCTCCCTTGCACTCATGGGGCGTCCCGTGTAGGTGCGAGAGAGACAGAGCGACGGAAACGACTTTCGGAATCAGTCACACCGCTAGCTCCATTTAGGGGCGAAGTCAACGGCGGCGCGATCACACATTATCCGGTCGCGCAACCTCCTACTCCTACTCTACAAATCGAAGAGCGTATATTGTATGCTCTACCTGGAGCATGCCTGCAAGCACGCTCTAGCTAGCGCATGCCTGCCAAGCATGCACTTACAAGTGCCTACATGCCATGTACACGCTAACTGAAGCATGCACTAGTGCATAAGGGATAGGGAGTTGCATCAGGAAGCGTGTACATGGCATGCATGCAGTAGTAAGTGCAAGCTTGGCAGGCATGCGCTAGCTACAGCGTGCTTGCGGGCATAACTTTTTGCAACATCTCTGAAGCATCCCCCTGGACCGTCTCTGGATCCTCGGCTTCACCCAGGCGCCGCCCCGCGCCGCCCCGCGCCGCACCGCGCCACACGGTGGGCGCCACCAGTCAGTGGACCGACCCAGGCGGAAAATGAAAACTCTCCAGAGATGCTTTCGGAAGGACTCAAATCACACACTCGATGGCAAACACGCCGAGAACACGGAGCCGCGGGGCATGGCGCGTCCACGGTCGAAGCGAGGGCGGCGAGAGCACACAACCGCACGGAAAAAAACCGTTGGTCGCCACGATCGGATATACCCAGTTGTCGTTACAGTGATTGTGGGCATCGAACGGCTTGATTCAGACAACCAACTAGCGTATCCATCCTCTTACAAGTCACTTGGTTGGCCCGAGCCGATCGTCACAACCGACCGCTCTGCTCAAGGAAGTTCGGTTCTGAGAGTCGGGTTTCCACGGGCCTGCCGCTTGGTGACGGCGTGTCCGTTCGCCTATTAGTATTTCCGATTTATGTTACTCAAGTAAATAATTTTCGCAAATAATGCTGTCTGTTGCCTAGGTAAATAAATATCTTCTCTAGCTGTCAGCTAAAAGTTCTGAACAAAATATTACACTACGGTCGAGAAGAACGCATTTTCATGTTGCCTCTCGCTGGCGTCTACGTTCGCCCATTAGGTTAGGTCGAGGGGGTAACCACTCGCGTAATACCCTGTACACAAAAACCGTGTATTACGCGTAATACACGTGGTCGTAATACCTTTTTCGGGTCAAATGTGCCAAATTTTTGTATTTTAAGGCCGTAATACACGTGTAATACCTACGTAATACAGCGTAATACCGAGTAGTCTGTACACGATTTCTTGAAGTGTTTACCCCCTCGGGTTAGGTGCAGGCATGATCCCCAATCGTGCGGCTCGCGTTCCACACTTCGGCAAGAAGCAGGGACGCAACCTTTGAGTTAGGAAGAGTGGCGCGATTTTGTGGCTTCATCGCCACCTACATTTTTAACTATGATCCCTCTGAAGGTGCAAGAAGCGCTACGACTATGAGGACCACAAAACTTCAAGTTCTAACTAATCTTACGTGAGGGTAAAAATTCCCCAAGAACGAAATCCGTCGGCGAAAGTGTCAAATGAGTTGGTCCTCTCGACCAACTTTCTGGTCGCCTCGAAGCGTTCCAAAATCATACCTATCCCTGCAACTGATGGAGGACGGTTCTAGGATGCCCTATTCCTGGTTGTCACAATCAACACAGTCGTTCTCATGGCCAGCTTGCCTCAGCTCGGCGACGTGGTTCTCACAATCAGAAATCCGGTAGTCCCACCAGCTATCGAAGAAGGTGGTCGTGGCGATCGACTTTCGGTCGCCACGACCAAGGAGTTTTTTCCGTGCGTCTTTCCGCCTTCCAAGTTTGCACAGCAGACGTCGGTCTGTCTCTCTCGCACTCACGGGGCGTCCCGTGCAGGTGCGAGAGAGACAGAGCGAGACTCTGGGAATGAGTCTGCAGGCAGGCGCAGCCAGGCAGGGCCCGGCTACTCTTGCCTACATTGTCGAGCCGCGCACTGTTAGCGACGTCGTCCTTCAGTCCCCATTTCCCCCTTTTCCCCTGCAGTGTACGGACAGGAATGTCGCCTTGGCCGAACTCGGACCGGCGGCACTGCAGGTGTGGATCCAGGGCCGGGCTACCCTCGGGGCTACCCTCGGGGCTACCCGGGAGCCGAGCCAGCAGAAGTAGACCAGGAAGCGCTGCACCGCCGCCGCCGGGCGCGCCCCTGAGAGGGCGGCCAGACCGCCTGAAAGGTAGGCAAACTTTGCTACACCTCCAGAAACCCCTCTCTGACCTTGCCTCTCTGGCTCTGCCTCTCTGGCTCTGCCTCTCTGGCTCTGCCTCTCTGGCTCTGCCTCTCTGGCTCTGCCTCTCTGGCTCTGCCTCTCTGGCTCTGCCTCTCTGGCTCTGCCTCTCTGGCTCTGCCTCTCTGGCTCTGCCTCTCTGGCTCTGCCTCTCTGGCTCTGCCTCTCTGGCTCTGCCTCTCTGGCTCTGCCTCTCTGGCTCTGCCTCTCTGGCTCTGCCTCTCTGGCTCTGCCTCTCTGGCTCTGCCTCTCTGGCTCTGCCTCTCTGGCTCTGCCTCTCTGGCTCTGCCTCTCTGGCTCTGCCTCTCTGGCTCTGACTACCTGGCTCTGCCTCCCTGTGGCTCTGCCTCTCTGGCCTTTCCTCTCTCGCTTTACCTCTCTGCTAGCCTCTGTCCCTCTGGCTCGCCGTTTTGGCGCGTGGCCCGCGGCCCTGGATGCTGGGAATACCGAACAGTGACTGACAGGGTAGATCATTACTGGCGGCAGGCTGAGGCTGCTCTCGCTGCGCGTCTCGCTGACTGGGGGGACACGCTGGGAACGAGGATGGGATCGGGCGGCCGTGAGAACACGGGCCAGTGCACTGCGGTGCAACCGAATCGGACTAAAATTGTGTACAACTGCAGAC